ATGAACTCCCCTGACTCTCAAGATGTCCTGACCCAAGGTTTCTGTTGGAGGGCTGATGTCCTGGAATAGATGCCTGAGCCCGGAAAAGAGCTTGGACACAAGACCCGGCCTCTGTCTCTTCCTTTCCATCCCAGACCCCAAACAGGATGTGGTTTACCTCAAATGAAGCCCCTTGGAAAGATGAGGGTGATTCAAAACAGGGCAATCCTTTCATAGCAGAGTCACAGTCAGCTGCCTTGGGCCACACGTTTCCAATGATCAGTTGGTTACAAGGGACCCCTGCAGCCAAATGACCCCTAACTGTATTAGAAAGCAGCATTCTAAACTGTCACATGACCACTTCGCTTCCCTCCACTTGACCAACTGTGGGTGAGCAGCTAATGCCCTTATCTGATAAGGGGCACCTGGGCTGGAGTGTCAGTGGCTTGATGAACTCAGTTTATAAAGCTTCCCGCCTGACTTACTATTGATCTGAGCCACTGTCTATGCAGCTGGACTAAGGCCCAGCTGAGGATGGGCAGTGGCTGCACCAGCACAGAGTGGACCTTTCTTCCTGTTCATTTCTTCCAAACCAAAGGTCAGCGTCTTCAGACTCCTATTGCATCCCGAGCCCTGCAGGGACAATGCACAGAATCCCTTCTCCTCTTAGAGGGAACCCTCCACAGCTACAGCCTGGAGACCCCACCACAGGACTGTCCCTGAGGACCACCAGGTCCTATTTCTAACCAAATGTCCATTCCTCCAACCTGAGGGCTCTGTCTCTTCTCACCACTCTCCCCAGCAGCACCCTAAACAGTAGGGATCCTGTCCTCATCCAACCACATTTATATCCATATCAAAACCCCAGTCTTTCCTTTACAAAACCAAAATGTGGCACACGTACACCATGGAATACTGTGCAGCCATAAAAAAGAGTGAGATCATGACCTTTGCAGGGGCATAGATAAAGCTGGAAGCCATCATCCTCAGCAAACGAACACAGGAACAGGAAACCAAACGCCGCATGTTCTCACTCATAAGTGGGAGCTGAACAATAAGAACACATGGACAAAGGGAGGGGAACATCACACACTGGGGCGTGTCAGGGGTAGGGGGCAAGGGGAGGGAGAACATTAGGATGAATACTTAACGCATGTGGGGCTTAAAACGTAGATGACGGGTTGATAGGTGCAGCAAACCACCATGGCACATCTATACCTGTGTAACTAACCTGAACATTCTGCACATGTATCCCAAACTTAGTAAAATAAAAAGAAAAAAAAACCTCAGAATCAAGATTACTAATGTGCTGTGTGATATTTTGGCAACAGTATTTGAAAGAGTTTGAATTTTAATTCACCTTTCTTGTCATGTCTTTTACAGAATTTGCCATCATGATTTTCCCAGTTAAAAGAGAGCAGTGTGAGCAGGTACTTGTACATACAAAATTGAAGTTACTTCTATTTAAAATATAGACTCATAGGGAGACAATAAGGATGGACACTTGCATGATGGAAAGATAATATTTGCATTAGTTTTTAGGTGATGGTTGTTTTACCTGTGGCACAGTGCACACATGTGACATGCGCAGACAGCTGCCTTCTTACAAACACTGTTACCACCACCCAGATGTAAATCCCTGGCAG